GTGATGGCCGCGCACCCTCCGCGTACTGTTTTTTTACACATAGGATCCCCGGGAAATCCCGGGAAACGACTCTCGCTGAGGCGCCGGCGTCATTTTTACCCAAAATGCTGCTCTCGTTGAGGCGCCGGCCTCATTTCTGCTCCCGAATCGTTCCGAATCGTGCTCCCGCTGCAGCGTGGGCCTCATTTTCGGATCGGTGTGTGGCCTCCGTCGTTCAGGATGGCGTTCTCGCCCCAGCGCGGGCCTTTTTCTCGCGCGCCCATCCGCCCGCCACCACCACGCCGCACCGCCACCACCACCACCACCACCACCACCACCACCACCACCACCACCACCACCACCACCACCACCACCACCACCACCACCACCACCACCACCACCACCACCACCACCACCACCACCACCACCACCACCACCAGCACCAGCACCAGCACCAACACCACCAACACCACCACCACCAGCACCACCACCACCACCACCACCACCACCACCACCACCACCACAACCACGCACACACGCACGCACGCACGCACGCGCACCACCACCCACTACTCACGCGCGCGCGGAGCCACAGGTCCGCTACGACACGCGTCCGCGGATAGAGAAAATCAGCGCCATGGTAAGGGATGGGAGGGAGGGGTAGGACGTCAGATATGACGCGAGCGCACCTAGCTTGTCCCCCTCCCCCTCCTCCTCCTCCTCCTCCTCCTCCTCCTCCTCCTCCTCCTCCTCCTCCTCCTCCTCCTCCTCCTCCTCCCGCTCCTCCTCTGGAATGGCACTGAGGCCAGCGTGGGTCGCGTTTGCTCGCGCTGCTGGCCCCAGGATCGGTGCAAGCGTATACGGCCAAGACCTGCTGCACAATCTGCCGTGGCGCGGCGGCAGCCCCAGGCGGCACGCTGCGCGCCCTGCAAGCGGGCCCCCGCGTCGCTGCGCTGCGCGGGGCGGGAGTCTCGGAAAGGCGCAGGACGGTGGCGCTCGGGAGTGGGGAGGACGGAGGAGGAGGAGGAGGCGGAGGAGGAGGAGGAGGAGGAGGAGGAGGAGGAGGAGGGAGGAGGAGGAGGAGGAGGAGGAGGAGGAGGAGGAGGAGAGGAGGAGGAGGAGGAGGAGGAGGAGGAGGAGGGAGGAGGAGGAGGTGGGGACGTGGGCAGCGTGCCACTCCGAGGCGCGGTGGGCCAGAACGCGGATGGCGACCTCCGAGTCCAAGCCCTGACGTGCCAGCAAGGGTGCTGGTTCCCCCTCCGACGGGCATCGGGGCAAGTACGCGTGGCGGACGTCGTGAAAGAGCAGCACACGCCCAAACCTGCAGGGAGGGGAAATGGAGAAGAGCACTGAGAATAAGGCACTATAGGTATGGGTGCGGATCGTCGGACGCCGAAGGAGGCTCCCGCTCGAGCGGGGAACCCAATCCGACAACACCGTGGATCAGCATCATCATCATCATCATCATCATCATCATCATCATCATCATCATCATCATCATCATCATCAGCAACATCAGCATCAGCATCAGCATCAGCACCAGCATCAGCATCAGCATCAGCATCATCAGCATCATCATCATCATCACCACCACCATCATCATCATCAGCAGCATCATCATACGCATCATCATCATCATCAGCAGCAGCAGCATCATCTTCGTCGTCGCTGTCGTCATCACCAGCAGCATCATCATCATCAGCATCATCATCATCAGCAGCATCAGCATCAGCATCAGCATCATCATCATCATCATCATCATCATCATCATCATCATCATCATCATCATCATCATCATCATCGTCAGCAGCATCAGCCCCAACCTCATCCTCATTCTCATCTCCATCCACATAATCCTCGTCATCACCAGCATCACCAACACAACACAACCATCACCTCCACCGTCATCAGCAGCAGCATCATCATCCTCGACATCCTCATCCCCCTTTATCGTCATCATCATCACCATCATCATCATCATCATCATCAACAGCAGTAGCATCATCATCATCCTACTCCTCGTCATCCTCCTCCTCCACCTCCTCCGCATTATCATCATCGTCTTCATCATCGTCCTCATCATAATGCTCATCGGCATCATCATAAGTTATCGGCATCTTGTCATGATCATCATCACCACCACCATTCTCATCACCACCATCATAATCATCGGCATCGTCATCGTCATCGTCATTATCATCCTCATCATCATCATCCTTATCATCGTCATCGTCCTCCTCCTCCTCCTCCTGCTCACCATCATCACCATCATCAGCATCATCATCAGCATCAGCATCATTATCATCATCAAAATCATCATCACAACCACCACCACAACCACCATTATCAGCATCAGCATCATCATCATCAGCATCATCATCAGCATAATCATCATCATCATCATCATCATCATCGTCATCATCATCATTACCATCATCAGCATCATCATCATCGTCATCATCATCATCATCATCGTCATCATCATCATCATCATCATCACCACCACCACCACCACCACCACCACCACCACCACCATCATCATCATCATCATCATCATCATCATCATCATCATCATCATCATCATCATCCTGAGCAGCAGCAGCAGCATCACCACCACCGCCACCAGTATTGTCATCCTCGTCCTTGTCATCCTCAAACGCACCCCGCACCCGCATCCTCCTCCGACCACCCGTCGGCAGGAAGGGGGACGAGAAAGACCGCTGCAACTTTTGCACCCGCGCCTCGACGGCTCCCCAATGCCTGCATTGAGACGCGGGAGCTCACCTCGGCTGGTCGCCTGGCCGGCCTCCGCCAGGCCCGCGCCCGGGCTCCCGCAGCCCCGCCCGGAGCGCCTCGACCCCGTCCTCGGAGATGGCGTACCCGAGGCGGCAGAGGCTGCTGACTGGGCGCGCCGAGGAGGGGGAGGGGCACGAAGGGCGGCAGCCGCAGCCGCAGCCCGAGCCGCAGCCCGAGCCACAGCCCACAGCCGCAGCCCCGGGCCGCGGCTGCAGCCCGAGCCGCAGCCCGAGACGCAGCCCGAGCCGCAGCCGCAGCCCCAGCAACAACCGCAGCCGCAGCCCGAGCCGCAGCCGCAGCCGCAGCCGCAGTGGCTGCCGCAGCCGCAGCCGCGGCCCGGGGGGTGCGCATCATGGCCCGGGGCATTTGCGCGGACGAGGGGGGGGGCAGGGGATGCACTGAAAGAAGAAGAGGGGGAGTCATGACGTCTGGGAGACCTCCTGGCCCCGGCCACGAGATCCACCGCCCTGGTCCTCGCCCCCCTCCTGGACGCCCCCCGAGCTGAACAGCGTCGGCGTGAGCCACAGGTAGCCGGTGAACCCCAGGTGGGGGAACTTGCCACCGCAGTTGGCACTGTGCGTGTGGCAGCAGTCGCAGCAGCCGAGGCCGCCCAGGTCGACCTCTCCGGAGAGCGCCAGCCACGTGTACACTACTTACACCTGTCCCGGTCAGGCCCCTCGTGTATAACGCCCCCCTGGCGTGGCGAAGAATGCGCACACACCGATCCTGGGCTCAAGATGGGCCTGGCCGGGACCGGTGCAGGTGTATAGCCGACGCCCTCCGGCCTCTCGCATCTTCGAGAGGGGGTCGTCGCTGCTCAGGGCGTCGTCGTCGGTGTCCGCCTCCGAGGAGGCCAGTCGAGCAAACACCCGCAGGACCCTCGCCATTCTCCTCCTCAAGGCCTTCGGCCAGCTGGCGCACACCCAGCTGCAGGCGTGATGCTACTCTCACGGAGGAGGAGGAGGAGGAGGAGGAGGAGGAGGAGGAGGAAAAAGAAGAAGAAGAAGAAGAGGATGAGAAAACGGAGGGAGGGAGGGATGGGATCCATCCTGATACAGCTTTCTGATTCTCGGCCCCATCCCAGTGCAACCCATCCCGATGCATTGCTGGGGTGCCCGCGTTCCCTGCCATGGCCGCGGACCCAGGGCGGAGCCGCCGGTTCCGAAACGAAGGAGGACGGCCTTAGTCGGCTCCGGCGCGGAGCCGCAGTCGGGGTGCCGAGGCCAGGCAAGCCGGCCCCGCAGTGGCGATGCAGCGTGCAGGCAGCGCATTTGCCGGCACGTTGTCAGTCTGATCATTTCACATTCGAGCAGGGCGAGGTGCGTATCTGCGGCGCGCGTGCCAGGGTGCACCCGCGGTACTGGCACGCTCGCTGCGTGTCCACGCCGCTGGGGAGGCCAGAGAACATCGAGGGGCTCCTGGACCTGATCGCCGAGCAGCAGCGGTTGGTGAAGCCGTTCCTCCAGCTGCCCTCCCACCCCGACCCGCCCCCTGGACGAGCAGCCCCGCCTTCTTCGCCCTCCCACCCGGCTCTGGCTGTCGCAGGTCCGGGAGCTGCACACACGGGCGAGGAGGATGCCGCGATCGAGCCTGCGGAACCTGGAATGGTGGAGCGGCTCGGCGGCGGACGAGCTTGGCTGCCCTGTACCCGTCCACCGACGCCCTCCTTCTCAGCCAGGCGGCCACCCTCCAGGATGTACCCGGCACGCTGAAGGTCGCCATCGGTGAGGCCCACACAGGCCGCCGCGCAGGCCATCCTGGACGCCATCGGCGACGTCGCAGAGCTGGCCGCGTGGCGCTGCTTCCTCGCTTTCGACCGCATGGCCTTTGGGGAGCTCTTCGAGGAGGGCGAGGTGCTGTGGCCGAGAGGGCTGCCTCGCGCCTCCGAGCCTGCTGGGCAGGCCGGTGGGAGGCGCCGCGCCGCTGCGGGATGCGGCCGTCTGAGCCAAGGCGCCGCCGGGCCCCAGCAGCAAGGGCATCACCGCCCGCAGGGAACGGCGGCTGCTGCTGCAAGGTGAGGTCTCCAAGACTGGCCCTTCGGCCTGGAGTCCGCGCAGAAGACACGCTGCAGGCGTTGGCGCGCGTCAACAGCACCTCCCAGATGAGGAGGAGGAGGAGGAGGAGGAGGAGGAGGAGGAGGCTGCCCCGCAGGTCGGCCGCGAAGGCGCCCCTGACCTCAGGCGCTCGCGCGCCGACAGCACCCCCCAGAGGCTGCCTCGCAGCACGGCCGCGAGGGCGCCCCTGACCCTGCGGCCGCCGCGCAGCTCCAGGCCAGCATGTGGACGAAAGCGCCCCCGGGGCTCCCGCGCAGGAGTGCCGGGCGACCGATGCGAGCTCCGGCGCCCCGCCGCGCACGCGGAGCAGCCAGGGCGCGGCGGCCGCCCGAGCTCTGCCCCGCCCGGCGGGCGGCGACGTGCCCCCGGAAGCACTCGACTTGGCGCTTCGCCCGCAGGCTGCAAGGCCGGGCGAGAGAACAAAAAAAAACGGAGGCGCCAGAACCCTGGCGTGCGGGACGATCGCGCGCCGCACGGTGGCCAGGACCCTCCGCGCGCTCCGAGCCCACAGCATCAGAACAGCCGCCTCCGAGCTGCGCGAGGGCCCTGGAGTGCCCGCTGGGCTGGAGGTGCTGCACAAGAGCGCTTCTGCGGAAGCATAGCGGCGCCCCGACATGGCTTCTTTAGCTCTGGGCCAGAAGAGTGCCTTCACCCGTGTCCGCTGCAGGGAAGTGCTGCGACGGGTGCGGCGGCGGTGCCCTGAGCTGGAGTGCTTGGTGGCGCAGTGGTACGGCTGGGTCACGGTCCACGCGGCATCCAGCGCGGGCGGGGCCTCCCGGAAGGCCGAACAACAGGAGGGGCTCGACCAGGGATGCCCGCTCAGCCTGGCGCCCTTCAGCGTCGGCATCGGCACCGAGCTCTGCGCCTTCCGGGACAATTTGCGGACGCTGGACCCGCGGTGCAAGAGGTGTGGGCCTACCTCGACGACGCCTACTTCACCGTGCCGACAAACTCCCGCCTGCAGCAGGCCTTGGCGACGGCCTAGACGCTCTTCCCTGGGCTGGAGCTCAACGTCGCCAAAACCAATGTCTGGTGCCCCGACGGCGGCGCCGCCCCGCTGCCAGAGCCGACGGCGCTGGGCCGTGGGTCGTGGACGCGCTCCCCTGCCCCGGAAGCACGGTGAGCTTCGTCAGAGGCCGCCAAGGCGAGGATGACGGCGAGTGGCGGGACACCCACGCGGAGGTGCTCGACCAGACCCCCCCGGCCACCACGTCTCCACGGCTGGCGGCCTGCGGCAACGCACTGGAGGCCCTGGAGGCGGCTGGCTTGGAGAAGCAGCACTGCTTCGCGCTGCCCTGCAGGTGGACCAGCTCCAGTGGCGGCAACGGCGCCGTGACGCAGCTGCTTCGGGCCCCGCTGGCCCCGCGCGGCAGCCGGCGCCACACGGACGACGAGGTGCTCACGCAAGCGCAGGCCTTGGGTCGGCCTAGCTCGTCGCCGACGCTGCTTGGCTGGGCTCTCGGCACGCTGCCCAGGCCGCCGTGCGGGGCAGGGCCGGAGGCGCCCACCCTGGCCCGGGCGGAAGAAGCAACGCCTAAGCTCGCGGCAGTGGTGCCCGAGGCCAGAGCGAGGCTCCGCGCCGACGCCGCCGTTGGGAGCCCTGGGGGGCCCTCGCTGCGTGGTCGAGCAGACGACGTGCAGCCGCCAGGTGGTGGAGCGCTGGCGCCGCCGGCTCCTCGACCGCCCCCCCCCCGAGCCAGAGGCAGGGCTTCTCCAGTCCCGCGGCGGGACAGGGCCCACGGCGCTCGAGCCGCCCATGCGGGCACAGCACCTGCTCGCGGTCCGCGACGGCGAGTTCGCCGTGGCCTTGCGCCAGCGGCTGCTCTGCGAGGGCCCCGCCCGCACCGGCGGCGGAGGCCCTGCTGCAACACCGCTCGCGGCGCTGCAGTGCCCTGTGGGCCCTCGACGCGCGTGTCGTTCGCTGAGCACGCCAACAAATGCCCCGTGGGACCCGGCTTTGTGACACCACGACCGCACCCGGGACAGGCTGGGCGAAGGGCTCGCCAAGCGTTACGGGCAGGACGCGGTCAGGTTCGAGCAGAGCATGCCCACCTGGCACTGGCGCGCGGACGAGGGCATCCACTGTTGCCGTCCTCGACGTGGTGCTGGCGCACCTGGGCGGGCGGGTGTGCTGCGACGTGTGCGCATCGCCGAAGCCATGGCGCCTCCTGACCCTGACGGCGGCAAGCAAGCCGCCGAAGCCATGGCGCCTCCTGACCCTGACGGCGGCAAGCAGGCCTCGACAACTGGCGCCGCGGCGCGGGAGGGGGGAGCGAGAGGAGCGCACCCGCTGCCCCGGGCCCCGGGCTCTGCGCCGCCGCCGTCGAAGCGGGCGGGCGGAGGGCCGCTGAGCTGGAGGGCTGCCTGCGCGCCCAAGCGCCAGGCGCGGACCCCGCGGCCGCCCTGGCCGAGGTGCGCCAGCGCGTGGTCGTCGCGGTGGCGCGCGGCACGGCGGCCATGCTCTGAAGAGCGCCGCCGGGCCCCCTGCCCTGGCCCTGGGCGGTCGCTGGCCCAGCCCTCCCCCTCCTGCTGCTGCTGCCTCTCACCCCCTGCCTCCCTCGCCACCCCCTGACCATCCCCCTCGCCCCTCCCCCCTCCTCTGCGCCATCGTCCGCCGACGACGACGAAGAGAGGAAGGGCGGGGCACTCTTCCCGGCGATCCCCTCCCCTC